TATCCATAGTGCTTGAGGTCTAACTATCAATTATGTTAGTAATAACAAAGTTCAGTCACCAGGTATTGTAAGCATAACTTGAAAAGGTTTCGAGACACTTTTTTTTTACAAAAGTGTTTGTGTGTAACGGTACGCAAAACAAATTGTATCTGTATAACTAAACTAAATAAGAGCTTATTTCAACGTTATTAGCTAAAACTCCCTTTTAATTGAAATAAAAAAAAATCACTTCGATTTTGAAAAAAAGACAAATTCAAGTGTACCGATTTATAGTCTATCCTGATTATCTTTGTCATTAGTTCAAAGTCCAAAATTATCCACTAAATTATTGGAACCACCAGACATGAAAATGATTAGAGTTAATTATTCGGTAATAATCTATATATACTGTAGTCAATAAAATGCCATTTTTCTAGCTCTGTATCATGAAGTGCAGTTTTATCATTCTTTATTATTGTTTCAATATGAAATTAATAATCAATTCTAATGTAATGCAGTACCAATCGAGTAAAGTGATRATACCTTAGTTTCTTTATGGAAGATTACTGACACCCCTTTTAATTATAAAGTGTTTTCAAAAGTGCTGATGTGTAACGGTGATCAAAGGAAAGCTCTAGAATCTTTTGTGTGGTCAAAGTAAGAAACACTTGTTTCAAAGTTTCAAAATTTAAAGCTCAATTTTCTAATAAATCAAAAGTACTTCAATTCAGTGAATGAAAATAATGAGAACAGGATATCATTACCTACTAAAAATTTCTCGCACATTTCTAGAGGCATATACTGTTATGCTTTTCATTGGAATCACTAGACATGAAAGTGCTTTTTTTTACAATATTCTTTCACAGATTGCGAAAGTTAAAGTGTCGTTCGAAGTACTATTTGTATATTAGGACAGTTGTATTATTTGTAACTATGATTTTGAGCTGTAATAGAATAGAATGCAGAAAAAAAATGACCGAAAATGAGAGTTTTAAATGTTACAATGCAAGGAAACACTGTATTATTGGAAGGTTGAGATGCATTGTTTACAATAGTGGTAATGTGTAACGGAACGCAAAGGAAATAATTTTATAGTAATGTATTATATATAATATTATACTAATAAGATATAAATCCTGTATCCATAGTGCTTTAGAACKTTTTATAGTGTTTGTGCACTACTAGCAATTATGTTAGTAATAACAAAGTTCAGTCACCAGTATTGTAAGCATAACTTGAAAACGTTTCTAGACACTTTGTTTACAAAAGTGGTGTTTTGTAACGACACGCAAAACAAATTGCATCTGTATCACTGAACTAAACGAGAGCTTGTTTTAACGTTATTAGCTTAAAACTCCCTTTTAATTGAAATAAAAAAAATCACTTCGATTTTGAAAAAAAGACAAATTCATAGTGTACCGATTTATAGTACTAGTTCAAAGTCCAAAATTATCCACTAAATTATTGGAACCACCAGACATGAAAATGATTAGAGTTGATTATTCAGTAATAATCTATATACTGTAGTCAATAAAATGCCATTTTTCTAGCTCTGTATCATGAAGTGCAGTTTTATCATTCCTTATTATTGTTTCAATATGAAATTAATAATCAATTCTAATGTAATGCAGTGCCAATCGAGTAAAGTTATGATACCTTAGTTTCTTTATTGGAAGATTACTGACACCCCTTTTAATTATAAAGTGTTTTCAAAAGTGCTGATGTGTAACGGTGAKGAAAGGAAAGCTCTAGAATCTTTTGTGTGGTCAAAGTAAGAAACAGTTGTTTCAAATTTTCAAAATTTAAAGCTTAATTTTCTAGTAAATCATATGTACTTTAATTCAGTGAATGAAAATAAAGAGAATAGGATATCATTACCTACTAAAAATTTCTCGCAAATTTCTAGAGGCATATACTGTTATGCTTTTCATTGGAATCACTAGACATGAAAGTGCTTTTTTTTACAATATTGTTTCACAGATTGCGAAAGTTAGTGTGTCGTTCGAAGTACTATTTGTTTATTAGGACAGTTGTATTATTTGTAACTATGATTTTGAGCTGTAATAGAATAGAATGACCGAAAATGAGAGTTTTAAGTGTGATAATGCCAGGAAACGCTGCATTATTGGAAGGTTGAGATGCATTGTTTACAATAGTGGTAATGTGTAACGGAACGCAAAGAAAATAATTTTATAGTAATACATTATATATAATATTATACTAATAAGATATAAATCCTGTATCCATAGTGCTTTTGAACTTTTTATAGTGTTTGTGCACTACTAGCAATTATGTTAGTAATAACAAAGTT